AATGCAAAGGTGAAGAAAACTCCCTTTATCAAGTTATTCCGTGTCAGAGATGTTGCCAGGGTCCAAATGACAAGCCCGACCAAGTGCACACAGCCATGCCATGATTTTCTTCTCAAATTTGGCATTGTGTGTAGAAAGGGAGTTCACCTGAGCTCCCAAACATCGACTGAAGTACGCATCCCCGCCATCTCTTGTTCTAAAACGCTCATTCTTGTGTCTCATACACCATCTGAAGGTTCCCCAACACCCTGCTCATGTGGTGGAGATGCAACGACATCCTTACCGAGCACATCATTAACCTCGTTGAGCGCATTAGATTCCTCACTATCCGCCTCAGCAGGCCCAGCAGGTTCCTTCCCAATTACAACTCTATCCGCTCGAAATTTCTGTTCGCGCTTGACTTTCCCATCCGTGGACCTGTTTTCTGGTAAACGTGCCTCACAACATAACCGAGTGACTAATGATGGGAAAAAATAACCCATATCTCTGCATAGGACAACGAATGGTCATCTCGTCTTGAATGACCTGAGCCACATCAAAATCGTGGCCTTTGATAAAGCACTAAATCGAAGCAGCCGGGGGACCATTCACATCAGTGGTGTTGCCTGAAGGCAGCAGGCGGTTATTAATGATGTATAGCCAGCACTTCCCTTCAAAAGTAAGCGAAGCCGAATGCAATTTATGCCCTTCTTTAGCCACACTACCTCCTTCCCAGGTACACAAATGGTTGCAAAGAACAGGCAACACAAGTATGGTTTTTCGCTGTGCGTGACATAGTAATCACCTGTATCAGGGTCTTTCACGTACTACGGTAAGTGATAGGCCCTTTGGATGGCCTCCTTGGAGAAGTTCACTCTCTTATTCCGGACTGTGCAGACATGGTCTACATATTCCGGGCAGTTCGCATAGAATTTCCGAACAACCATCAAATTTTCCTCGTTAAGTTCTTCAAAGAATACCCCCATGCCTCACCTGACCAATTCATTATACTCTCTGAGACAGACATTTTGGAGAGATCCATTATTAATTCCTCTTTTCGGTATGGGGTTTTTGCTTGCTTTTCTATGAAATTGTTCTTGGGCTTCCCAGGAGAAGAGCTTGTTCTGATCATATGGGCAAGAGGATGCAGAAGCTTGCGACCGGATGTACCCGCTTGACTACCGGTGGAGGTACTTGCAGTTTTTATCTTCTTGGAAGGAGCCATTGTACCTGAAACAAACCGCCAAATAACCGCTAATGAATCACTCAGTGAATCAAGAGAGGCTACTCAGACTCACCCTTACACTTGGTCACAAAATTACACCCTCAATATCATTGTGGTATTTACACAAACACTTAACATTCACAGGTGTTCCTAACCTCCCATAAAGCAATTCTAATCCCAGCTGGACTAAGGATACACCAATTTCACTCCTAGCAACTATATGGTGAGTCTCCATGGTGAAAATCAACCTCTACCCCACACGAAAAGGAGAACAAAAAGAAAGAAACAAGAAAAAAGACAAAACCATATTGCTACAAACAAACAAGAAAAAATATAAACAAAGGGAAAACATCTCACATACCTGAGGGATCTCTGGGAGAGAGTGCTCTTGAGGAAGGGGAAGGGAGAAGAGTACGGGATTGTACTTGCATTGTTTTGCAGAGAGGAGAGAGGTGGGGGAGGGTTAGGTTTTTTCTTAAGAGGAGAGGGAAAAGGGGAAATTTAGAAGGGGGTTTGGGGGGTGCGAAATTAAAAGGGGGAAATACTTACCTGTGCACGGTCGTTTGCGCTGTCAGGTCCTACCATGCGCGGCCGTGCACAAAAGTCAGTGTACTAGTTAATGTGCACGGTCAAGTATGCGGTCAACCCTTCAAGTGCGCGGTCGCGCACATACCGTATCCTCTGACGTTTTCTTTTGCATGGACATATGTGCGAGGTAGTTTTGAGTTATAGTCATCATCTTGACTCAACCGGGCATTCTTAACTGATTTTAATGCTCGAGGATTGCTGAGTAAATCCTACGGCAAGATACAGTTTTAGCCTGTGCCCATTTACTTTGAAACTTTCCGTTCCGTCCATGTTCTGAATCTCAATTGCCCAATATGGTGATACATGTTTCATCACATACGGTCCCCTCCATCTAGACTTAAATTTTCGGGGAACAATCTCAGTCTACTATTGTACAGTAAGACTCTGTCCCATTCATGAAACTCTTTTGGCTTAATCAGAGTATCATTCCACCTTTTAGTCTTTTCCTTAAAAATCCACACATTTTTATACGCGTCCAGTCTAAACTCCTCCAATGCATTCATATATGCCAAACTGTGTTCACCTGCAAGAGTAAGATCAAGGTTAAGCATCTTAATTGCCCAATAAGTTTTTTGTTCTATCTCAATTGGTAGGTGACACGATTTTCCATATACCAGTTTGAACGGTGAAGTCCCTATGGTTGTTTGGAACACAATTCTGTATGCCCATAAAACTTCCTCCAACTTTACAGACCAATCCTTCCGCAAAGTACTAACTGTCTTTTCAAGAATTCTTTTAAGTTCATGGTTAGACACTTTAACTTGCCCACTAGTTTGGGCATGGTACAGGGTTACTGTTTTTTATGTGACCCCATACTTAAACAGCAATGCAGCAAATTGCTTGTTCACAAAGTGTAACCCATTATCACTGATAATCACTCGAGGTGTCCCAAAGCGGGTAAAGATGTTCTTCCATAAGAACTCACACACCACCCGAGCATCATTGGTCCTAGTAGGGATTGCTTCGACCCACTTAGAGACGTATTCAACGAATACTAGAATATACTCATAAGAATTTGACATTGGGAATTGACCCATGAAGTCAATGCCCCACATGTCAAAAATTTCACATACCAGAATGGAGTTGTGAGGCATTTTGTCCCTCTTGCTAATATTACCTTCCCTTTGACACATGTCACATGCAGCTACATACGCTCGTGCGTCTTTGTACAAAGTAGGTCAATAGAAGCCGTCTTCCATGACCTTTGCTGCAGTGCAATTTCCACAATGGTGTCCTCCAGCTGCTTCATCATGGAAATAGGACCAAACGCTTGTCATCTCTCCTTCAGGCACACATTTTCGAATCACACCATCTACACACAGTTTAAACAAAAAAGGGTAATTCCAAAAATAATGTTTTACCTCACCTTGAAGCTTCCTTCTTTGATCACGAGAGAGATCGCGAGGTAACCATCTGCTAGCCAAAAATTTGGCTATATCAGCATACCAAGGCGGCCTTGATACTAATTCGAGATAGATGATCGTCAACTTGATTTTTTGTGCCCTTCCTATCTTTGATATCTAAGTCAAACTCTTGAAGCAACATCACCTACCGCATCAGACATGGCTTGGACTCCTTCTTACTCAACAAATGTTTCAAGGTTGAGTGATCTCTGTGTACAATCACTTTACTCCCCACCAGATATGATCTAAACTTGTCAAAAGCAAAGACCACAACAAAGAACTCTTTTTCAGTGGTGGCATAGTTGACTTGAGCATCATTCAACGTCCTGCTTGCATAGTAGATGAGCCTAAAAATTTTATCTTTTCTTTGCCCCAAAACTGTCCCCACAGCTACATCACTGGTATCACACATTATCTCAAATGGCTGGCTCTAATCAGGTTTCACCACAATATGAGAACTTACAATATTTTCCTTTATCAATTCGAATGCTCTTAAGCACTCTACATTGAAAATAAACTTGACATCTTTCGCTATCAATGCAGTCAACGGTTTTGTAATGCTGGAAAAGTTTTTGATGAACCTCTTATAGAACCCAGCATGTCTCAAGAAACTCCTTATGCTCTTCACAGAAGTCAGTGGAGGGAGCCTAGCAATTACATCAACCTTAGCTTTATCTACTTCAATACCTTGTGCAGTCACTTTGTGGCCTAAGACAATTCCCTCTTTCACCATGAAGTGACACTTCTCCTAGTTAAGGACCAAGTGCGTGGCTTTACAACGTTCAAGAACGGGCTCCAAATTCTTCAAGCAGTCTTCAAAGTCATCACCAAAGAGGGTGAAATCATCCATGAATACTTCTAGACACTTTCCGTTTAAATTAGAAAATATAGACATCATGCACCTCTAAAAAGTGGCAAGTGCATTACTCAACCCAAACGACATCCTCCTGTAAACAAAAATATTTGACGGACAAGTAAATGTAGTTTTCTCAACATCTTTTGGGGAAATGAGTATATGATTGTAGCCTGAGTACCTATCCAAGAAGCAATATCATTCATGTCCAGCCACTTTCTCGAGCATTGGATCAATAAAGAGGAGTGGGAAGTGTTCCTTCCTTGTTGCATCATTTAGCTTCTATAATCGTTGCACATTCTCCACCCAGTGACTGTTCTGGTGGGGATCAATTCACTATCTTCATTTTTCACTACTGTCATGTCCCCTTCTTAGGTACAACTTGTACTGGATTAATCCATTGGCTATCAGAGATAGGAAAAATCACTCCCGCATCTAGCAATTTGATTATATCCTATTGCACTACCTCATCCAAATTTTTGTTCAGCTTGCGCTGGGGCTGCACCACTGGCTTGCTATTTTATTCTAACAGAATTGTATGCATGCAAATTGTCGGACTAATTCCTTGAATATCAGCTATACTCCAGCCCTTGGCCTTCCTGTGATTTTCAGCAGCTCCTCCAGTTTTCGCTCCCGTGAAGTCAGCAGAAATAATCACTGAAAATTTGTTAGTTTCAAGAAAAGCATGTTTTAAGTGAGTGTGGAGGATTTTTACTTCCACATTAGGCTTAGTAGCCTCCTCTTTTAGTTCCTCCTCATCAACCACTTGATCCTTAGTCTCAAGAGATTCTGCCTCTTTCTTTATTTCATGATCTTCATCCTCCATCGTGCTAGACTAAGTAATACACCTCTCTAGAGTATCCCCCACAAGTTTGTCAAACTTGTATTTTTTAGCCAATTCTCCAACAACGTCCATCTTAAAACACGAGTAGGTGGATGCCTCATCACTGGGTTATATCATCATCCTCTTCATCTGAGACACCACTTTTTCGTTGCCCGCTCTGAGCATAAGCTGCCATTCATACATATCAAGGATAGCTCTGCATGTACATAAGAATGGCCTCCCTTCAATTAGAGGTACCTCCTTGTTCACCTCCATATCCACCACAATAAAATCTACGGGGAACACAAACTTGTCCACCCGCACTAAAATATCCTCAATGATTCCCTCAGGTAGAATGGTGGTTTGGTCGGCCAGTTGTAGGGACACTGGTATTGATTTGATCACTCCAAGCTCACCTTCCAGTTTCCTGAATACATACAGAGGCATTAGATTTATAGATGCACCAGGATCACAGAGGGCCTTGTCGAATTTTTCACTCCCCAACGAGCATGGTATGGTGAAGCTTCCCGGATCCCCACACTTTTGGGGAATCTTATTTTGCAAGATGGCACTACAGTGGGTGTTTAGCTTGACCACTGTTGTTTCCTCTAATTTTCTCTTGCTAGACGGGATTTTCTTTAAGAACTTGGCATAAGCATGCATCTGAGTGAGTACCTATGTAAAAGGAATGTTCGCATACAGTTGCTTGAGCATTTCCAGGAATCGCCTATAACATTTGTCAAGTTTCTCCCGCTTCATCTTTTGAGGGAATGGTAGAGCTGGCATATGTCTACTTTCTTCAATCTCCTTTTGTACCCCGCTACTCAGGCTTTTTTCTCTTCATTCTCTTTCTCTGTTGGTGTTTCAATCTGCTTGCTAACCACCTCAGGTCTAGCTTTCACCTCTAAGTCAGTCAATGCTTTGCCACTTCTCAGAAATATAACTTTGATTGTTTCCTTTGGGTTCTTTTTAGTGTCAGAGGGAAGAGTACCGGGAGTCATCTCAGATAACAAATTCGCAATCTGTCCCATTTGTCTTTCTAAATTCCGGATAGCCGTGCCCCGATTCTCGAATTTTTTATCTATTTTGTTGATGAATGCCTTCATGAGATCTTCCATACTTGACTGAATTTTCTATGGTGGCTAGTATTGCTACTTCTGCTGGTTCTAAAAACCTGGTGGTCCTTGACCCTGGGGTCTGAGATTGTTTTGTTTCCATGATTTCATGATCCTATTAGGTGATCTCCACGAAAAACCTAGACGTCTTTGACCCATAGCATTATAGTTGTTCTTACCTTGGTAGTTTTCTCTATTAAAGTTCCCCACAGCGTTGACTTCCTCAACTGTAGCTTGACATTCATGTGTAGGGTGTCCCAATCCACAGATGTCACATCCCACATGTGGTTGATTTTGCACCTGAGCTATTGTTAGTTGCTTGATGTCCTTAGCTATAATTGCAATTTGAGCCTGCATTGCTACCGACAATTCTACTTAGTGCACCCCCATTGATCTTCTTCGATCCCCTTGGTCAGTGGACCATTGTTCTGCGTCTTCATATAGTTCATTCAAAAGTGTGACAATCTCTTTACGAGTTTTCTTCATCATAGGACCTGCAACTGCACTATTCAGCAATCTCCTTGATGGCGGGTTTGCATCCATTGCTCTATTCAATTATGAGGGAACCTCCGCAATAGCTCCTTAAATCTTTCCCATTACTCGAACACTGTCTCCCCTTCACCTTGGTTGAAATTGTGAATCTCTTTCCTCACCCGTCCAGTCTTAGCAGCTGAGAAATATTTTTCTAAGAACTTGATATTCATCTCCTCCCACGTACGAATTGATCATATGGGCAGACTTCTCAACCACTGCTTTGCATCATCCTTAAGTGAGAAAGGGAATGCTTTGAGGCAGATGACATCATGTGATGCTCCATTGTAGCGAAATGTGTTCATAATTTCGTCGATGTCCATCAAATGGTTATTAGGATCTTCATTGGGGTTTCCTCTGAATATATGAAATTGTTATGAATGGTCTGGATGACTCTCTGTTTGAGTTCAAAATTATTGGCACCAATGGGCGGGGGCCTCACACTAGACTGTTGTTGCTTGTACATCGATCTGGCATAATCTCCTAGTGACCTCCTAGGCCTAGAGGCTGCATTTTCAAATTCATCTTCGATCATGGTTCGGTTGAGATTGAAACTTCTATCCCCGGTAACTGTTTCATCCGCAACTCTACGGGCTGCTTCAGCTGCTAACCGTGAGTCCTGTCGGTGAGCTGCCTCTCTTGCACCTAGGTTCACCTCCTCTTCATTGTTTCCCATTGTATTCTGAGTTAAAGGTTGACCCAACAGCAATCTTCTCGATCGTTTCTCCCTTCTCAACTGCCTCAGGTGCTTGTCTAACTCTGGATCGTATGGAACCAATTCCTTGGAAAATGATCGAGTCATACATAGCTAAACTTAACTTGTTGCCTGCACACAGATGAGAAGAGCGTAAAAAAAGAAAATAAAATAAAATAATTCCAGAATTAACACCGAAAATTACTTCAAACACTATCAATCGCCAATCCCCGACAACGATGCCAAAATTTGACGAGTGCAAAACCGGTGTATAGAACTTTAGCTCTCTAGTCAAATATAGTATAGTATTAAATCGTCTCCACAGGGATTTGTTTAAATAATGTTCTAATAAATTTTCCGCTTAACACTATCTAGGAAATAAACATTTGATTTATGTTATTATCAACTAATAATAAAAACTAAAATTATCGATTGTGAGAAAATAATAGAATTTTAATGACTAAGTAGCAACGATTGAATATCAAAGAGAGAATTACGGGTTGTGACAAGATATGTGATCAACTATTATTTTGGGTAACTCCGTGCTAAGTTCACTCTTAACTTCTATTGACTCTTACGATTTCAACCGATGATTTGGCTATCTTACAGATTCAAATTCTTCTTCCGAATAAATGAGAATTCTGTTAACCAACCTAATGACAGGTTCTAATAACGTATGCAAATATACAATGAATGAAAAATCTTTCAAAGAACGTCTCTCAACTATTCTTCTAAATTGGGTCATTGATAACTCTCTAAGCTCTTCCGATTACCTAAGAGAGGCGTAAAATCAACCCAAACAAGATAACACAATGCAAATTGCAGCAACACTTCTCTTTCGATTAAAGTAAAACCACAATTAGCTTGGCAATTCAATTAATACCCATTCAACGAATTAGTGCAATTGACAGAAAGTAAAACCCCAAAACACTAGCCAATCATAATATCCGTCAACAACCCTAAGAAAGATTACTCCATAGTGAAGAAGTTATTAATCACAAGAGTATTAGAAGAACAAGAAGACATTACAATTTCCAAAATCAAACAACTTCCGTATTGAATGAATTGGATGAAGTATTTTGAGTCTTAGTTGTTTCCTTGCCTTCTTCTCTCCCAAAAGTTCCCTCAAATCCCCAATACCCTATTTTTAGATGATCTAGGCTTCATATAGGTTAAAAGGAGTCACCTCTGAAATTACAAAAATAGCCCTGGGTAAAGGTTCCGGAAATGGACGTGCGCGGCTGCGCACCTAGAGGTATGACTGCGCATATGGCCGCGCACCTCTAGCAAGTGCACTGTGTAACTTGCACGCTCAAGTGCGTGCTGGAGGGGGTCTCATGTGCGGTCACACATCTGGTTTAGCCTTCTGCTCAACTCTTTATTTTCTCCATTAAGTGCATTATTCATCTGTTGATCCCCAAACACGATCCCGACTTAATCCTTAGGCGTTTACTCAGACTTCAAAGCTCTAAAATAGCTCGAATTAGCTCCACAACCTCTTCATAACTCGGAATCACTCCTACAAGGCACAAAGCACACCCTTAATGCAAAACAATATCATTTAAAGCTCAAACACTAGTAAAGTGTAATAAAATAGAGTGCAATTAGTGACCAAAAGACGCAATTATAGCCGACCATCAGGAAACTGCTGTAGCTTTTGGAAAAAGTGATCTGAATCAGTCTCAGTTATGGCACTTGACTTGGCTATATGAGCGATAAGAGATTATCTTTGCTGAGTAAGAAAAATTTGCTAAATGGGTACAAAAATCAAATTTTGAATTTTTGTGAGAATTATGTGTTTGGTAAACAGACAAGGGTAAAGTTTAGCAAGAAGGCCGAGCATAAGACCAGAGACAAGTTAGATTATATACATTCAGACTTGTGGGGTCCAAACAAAGTTCCCTCCAAGATTGGTGCCAGGTATTTTATGACTTTGATTGATGATAACTTAAGGATGGTGTGGGTGTATTTTCTGAAAATAAAAGACAAAGCATTTCGGACATTTGTTAAATGGAAGATGATGGTTGAGAGGCAGATGGAAATAAAAGTTAAGCGTCTTCGAACTGACAATGGGTTGGAATTTTGCAATTCCGAGTTCGATAATTTCTGCAGCAGAGAGGGCATAATGGGACACCGCACTTGTGTCAGAACAGCATAACAAAATGGTATTGTAGAACGTATGAACAGAACGCTTTGTGATAGGGCATGGAGCATGCTTTCATACTAAGGGTGGTAATTGGGCCGGGCGGGGCCCTAAACGGGTCGGTCTCGTGGGCTGCGGTTCCGGACCTTAAATAAACGGGCTAAACGGTCCCAGACTAAAAGTGTTTTTTGTAGAAACCGGCCTGAGAACGGGCCCACGAACTCATGGTCCCGTTTTAAATAGGTCGGACATGCGGTCCCAACGGGCTAAATGGGCCCAACGGCTAAGCAATAATTTTTTAAAAACATTAAATAGAAATTAGAGACAAAACGATGTTAAAAAAACATCTAAGGCAATGCCTTGTAATTCTATTATAGAATTGTGACCTAATTTTTTAATTCAAATTTAAATACAAAATATTATAAAAATATATTCAAAGCAATATCTTGTAATTTTATTATAGCAATAAAATAATATGGCAATATCTTTCTTAGTTTTCCACCCCCCTATGGAATGAGCACAACAATGTACTAATACCACTATTGAGAAGAGAAAGAAACTAATCAAGAAGTGCCAAAATATAAGTTATATAATACATACTAATTTTTGTTCATACAAGTTACATATTATCTCTTACAAACATCATAAATCCTTTAAGGTTCATAGGAAGTTCCGTTGGTAGTGGCGGAAAAGTAGTTTGGTCATCGACGCTTCCATTGACAGGCGAAGCAGCATCCTCAGCAAGTTCAGCTAGCATTTCTTTGTAAGTTTCGTCTACCTCTGGTTGTGATTCAGCAAGTCCAAAAATTTTTCTTTTCGAACGGACCCAATCTCTGAAAAGTACTGAGTTTTCCAAGCTCCCTCATAGACACTCTATGATCACCGATTTGAAGTCTTGCTTGAATGAAAGCGCTCTCTGATGCCACTGTTGAAGCTTGAATAGTTAAAATGTCTCGGGCCATCCTTGAAAGAACCGGAAAGTGTTTTTCTTTGTCCTTCCACCATTGCAAAATATTGAAGGTTCCGTTGGGATTCACTTCCTCAAGTTGCGAAATATCATTACTAGTTACTACTAGAACCAAAAGAACCCCTAAACCCCGCCCAAACACTAAGTCCTCTTCTCCCGCAGTTCTTTTAAAAGATTGAGAATCAGAAGAAGAAGGAGTTGGAACATTTGGTCTAGCATGATTTAATGCAACTTGATAAGCATTATAAATAGTTTTAACATTTGTTCTAATTGAGGCTATTGCTTTCGGAAGTTTAGGCAACTCATCATCTTCAAGTGCTAAATATTATAAATAGTTTCATACCAAAATTGAGGACCTCCTAATTTCATACAAGGATTTAACAAAGAAGCAATACCATAAATAGGGGGAATAGGGAAAAATATATTTTAAACTTTTTTCTTATAGAATCAATAGCAAGTTGATAAATTTCCACACCTTGTGAAAAATGAGCAAACAAATTTGTAAGTTCTGCATAGTTAGAAATAGTAGGATAATATTGCCCAGAAAATACTTTTGTAGCAATATGAATTTTTTCTAAAAA